CCCGTCCGCGAGTCGGACCCCCGCGTAAAACTTGTTAAGTACAACGCGAAAGGCGGACGATAAATAAAATTTAAATTCTTCTAACCGACGGAGTCCTGTGAGGATTGTGCTGGGAGAAAATCAGATTTAGCTAATAAAATTAATTAAATCGGATATCGTTTTTTAACCGGCCAGCCCGTGTGTGTAACACCTGCGCCGTCCCGGTACAACGGCCCACAAATAAGTTGTGTTTACAAAAAATTCCTAAAAGCAATTGTTACGCGACAAAAAAAATAATTTTAAACCGGCTGGAACTCGAATTTAAATAAAATAAAATTTTTATTGCGTTAAAAATCCGAGTTCTCAACTTCGAAAATAAAGACAATAGTTGTGTGTGACAACGAAGATCTGTTCTCCGCCCGACGGCAACTTCACCTGTATCGCCGCTGTCGTCGGTAGTAGTAAGTACTCCTGTATCGTTCAACCAATTCACTTTTATTTGAATAAACAAACTCCTCTTAACTAAAGCATTCTTCTCTATTTACCTCTCTAAGACTCATCTCTCTATATTCACACAATTAACACTTTATCAAGCAGAGCGTTTCTTTTAAAAGTGGAAAAACGGACCTACAATTCAAACAAATTCCCAAGGGAATTTGGCAGCTTGGTGCCTCCCCAAATTCAGAAATAAAAAGGGCCATCTCAAAAGCCCAAATTAAATATTTATTCTGGTTTGTAACAAGCTGATGGTGGCAGCGGTGAGATCTATCCACACGTTACCGCCCTGCTTCGTTACCTGGTAACACTTGTTACTAGTGGCACCATTTCAAATTCTAGAACAGTTTAAAATAAAGATTTTAGAAATTTTTACCACCGTAACTTTTGCGTTACTAGCATTCTTTTTCCTACTATTTTCAGTGGCAGAACTTATTTCAATTGCTTGTCAATTATTTAGTTTCACTTCAATTGCGACTTTGTATTCGAGCTAGTACGCGAGAAAAGGGTAATTCTTTGATTAGTAATAATCGCTAAGAACTGGTAATTTGGAAGAAAACAGGACTATAAAGTTTCACAGGAAAATTGTCTCAACAGATTTCGAATTTGGCTCTCCGACGATGTCTCTAAACGATGCCTAACAAGCCGCGGCTGCGCGGAAACCGTTCTAAGAAACGAGCCCGAAAAGAAAATCACTCTCCAAAAGTTACAAAAGAAAATACTTCTCTAACATTTTCAGAATCGGAAATTTTTAAGAAACCTTCTGCACCCATTAAAAAGGAGCAAAAGGAACTCTTAAATGATTGGAAAGAGTTTTCCAATTTTTTTGAACACCTTCTAAATAAGGCTGAGGCCGAAATCAATAAAAACAATAAGCGTCGTGAAATCGAAAGGCGGGTAAGAGTGGCTTTGAAAGAACGAGAATCGAAGGAATAACTGTATCAATTCTCTCTTGTGCTATGTTTAATTTCGAAAACTTTAATGACCCGAATACAATTGTATACACCTCAGATCTTCTAAAAGATGAAGCAGTGATTCTTTTAATAGACCCGTCTTATGAACATAATTACATTTGCCAAACGGCTTTGAGCCCAGATTGCCCCATACTAAATTACCCAACAGGGGGTTGCTTTGACAGCATTCATAAAGACGTTTTGGGCGTGGTATATATTCTGATCGAGGATCGGGAAGTGTGTTTCCATGTGATCGACTCTTCCTATTCTTACGCCTGGTCTTACATCTTAGGAATTATTGGACGAAGAACCAGTGTCGAGCGGGGTTACTGATACCCCCCCCCCCTGAAAAAAACTTTACTATTTTTTCCCCTCAATGACTATTCCCGAAAATTTCTATTGCTTTGGTAGTACCCTTGCTACTTCGGAAATTTTACAAGGCGAAATAGTTACCGTCTCCATAGATTTTGGTTATAAACATAACTACATCTGTGAAACTGCCCTAAAACCACACTCCCCTATCCTAGGTCATCCAAGTGCAGACTACGTCAATAATACCTACGTGGATATTCTTGGATTCGTATATCTCCAGATTGAAAACCAAACGGTGTGCTTTCAGGTCGTAGATTCTTTCTATTCCCATACCTGGCCAGTGGCCCCCGCAATACTTGGGCGACTGAGTTGCATCGAGTTGGCTATCCTCTAATTGTCCCGTATAAATCTTGACATTTAATATTTCAAGGGGAAGACAAAATTTATAATAGTGTTTTAAATGCATATTTGTTGAGATTAGTAAAAAAAATTAGTCCTAACGACTAGCAAAACAGAATCGCCGGTTGTGGGTACAAGGCCGCATGATTGGAAACCTTCTGGTCGAATCCTAGAGAATTCTAACCGGAATTCGGAAATAAGGAAATTTATTTTCTTCTTTCCCTTATACTAGGAAGCGCCGTTGGGACAACCGATCGTCCCGCCTAGGAGAGCTCCCGTGCCGAATCTGTAATTTAACGCACTATTGGGATTTTTTTTGAAGTTAAAATGTCACTTGGAAATGTCCTCTAACCCAGGAAAATCAAAAAAAGGAAAACGCGCCGGAAAACGACACATATTGACCGAACTAAGAACAAATAGGGCACCAGAATCGGAAATTTATTACCGCCTCACCAAGCCCGTGATAAAATTAGGACCTACTTGTAAGGTTGCACCCAATGTCAGACAACCAGAACCTGTCCAGCCAACTCTAGTACAACCACGAATCCCCATTATTGAAATCGACTTGGATGTCGAAGTGGCACTAGCACAGCGACACATAGCATACGCCCAAGAAAATCATATTAGAATAGTCCCCGCACCGCGACAAAATACAACACAACCTGACGACGACTCAGACACCACCTTAGAATATGATAGTGATGTCATGATTATTAATTAACCTCCATCGAATGTGTTATCAAAGGCAAATACCAGACATTGTCCCCCCTCCCGATCTATCTACTCCCAAGGCAACCATAATTTATTCCCCCACCCCCGGAGTGATTCCTATTACCGATGAGATGAGAGAAAACATTCGAAACAGAATCCGGGAACGAAGACGAAATCACCCTTATGCAAACCAACGTTTAGACTAAGTCGAATAAATGTCTGACTTTTACTACCTTGTAGAATATAGCCTCAAATTTCCCATATCTGATCCCGAATTATTAAGTCAGGCGGAATTAAAATCTATCCCTCTTGCGTTCATAACATCCGCTTACATTGTTTCTATAATTCCAAAAAATAAGCTTAAAATCCAAAGAATAGAAACTGTCAAGGTCAACTTTCCTCCACGATAATTCATGTTTCCTCGCAAAAGCATTATAGTTACTGGATTTTCCCAGGACCAGTGGTCGGAATTAGCAGAAGGAATAAATCTAATCGGTGAAAGATACGAATGTCTTATGAAACAAAATTCGGAACTAGTTAAACGATCAGCTGATCTGGAAAAACAAGCATATTTTCTCAACACCTCCCTGGCCAATCTTTTACAAGCTACTTTCGCACAATCCCTGTTAGTTTCAAGTGTCGAAAAACAGGGACGTCAGCTAAAATATACCATGGATTTTTTGACTAAAAAACTAGACGAACTAAAAATCGAGTAAGAAAGGGGTAATGACACCCGAGTGGAAAAATATTTTTTTCAACAATTCCAAAGAAAACATTCATAAGATTAGGACCCTCTTAATGTTTTACTCCCGAGAAAGCACGAATTTAGCGAGAGCCAATCTCCACCTGCAATTGGAAATAGAATGTCTGGAAGAAAAATTTAACCACATACACGTCTTAATTACACAAGAACAAGACAAATCTATTTCGCTTACTGAATCCTTGAGCGAAGTGGAAAAATTATTAAAGGACCTAAAACTATAAAAAATGCCCCTGTCTCAATCGAATTCATCCCCATACTCAGCACCTATCGAAAGAATAACTAAAGGTGAAAATTGTAGGCTTTGCATAAAGTTTCGAGCCCTTAATGACAAACACCCAGAAGTTCAAAAGGAACTCGAATAAAAAATCACAGCTTTAATCATAAAAAGGGTTATGCAGAATCGAAAACAGAATTAGAAAAAGGGGAACAAGTATATAAACTTGAACACAGCCAACCTTGCGCCAAGCTGCAGGAATTTTCCGCGGTGGCGACGCCCACAGTCTCAAGTAACAATTTCCTCCCCTAGAACTAATTTTATTTCTAATTCTACACATTTCTCTCTGCCTATCTCTTTACTCAACATTAACAGCACACATCATGTCGGATCACGGCGAATCTAATCCGGACGATATACAGGATAGGAACAACGAACGACGTCCGGGTGGAGGTCCACCCGGAAATGCCGCCCTAAATGGGACTATGAACCCTGCGGGTGCGGACGCAAGTTCAGCCATTGACCGGTTTACGTTACGCACAAGCGCATGTGACATACCGGTATTTGACGGAAAAACCCCCCCTTTACGAGATTTCGTGCAAGCCGTAAAACGAGCCGGAATTTTTATCACCGACGTAGCGGAACCCGAATATATCCGAGCAGTCCTTAGTAGGCTAGATGGCCCGGCTCATGCTAGCTGCAAACATAAAGACTTTAACTCACTAACCGAGTTATTAAAACATTTAAAAAAAAGATTTGCGCAGACAAAGAAATACCAGTGGTATTTCAAACACATAGTGACCATAAAACAAAAACAAACCGAAACTGCGCATGACTACCATGACAGACTCCAAGACTTGATTAGTGGGGCTAGACATGCCCTGTAACCGAAAAATGATAAAATGTTCCGGGAAGTAACAAACGATGATAGGGAAATCAGGCGGAGAGAATGCGATATTATCCTCCAACCGATTAGAGAATGCGCGCTCGACGCCTTTGTTAAGGGATTACCCACCGAAATATCAAAATTCGTGGATGCCCGTAATCAGGGGGGAAAAGAAGGCCTGATCCAGAACGAGAATCTGCGTCCCATGCCCCTTCCTCTTCTAATCGTCGGTCCTCAGATGTACTCCATCTTACTCCGGAACAATTGTGTCAGTTCTACAGGTCAATGATGCCTCAATACCCACCCCCATTTCCATACCCTTCTCCACTCCCGATAAATATTCCACCTCATAATCCCTCGTACTACCCTAATCCAACATTCCAACAACCAATTTCACAGCCAATACCACAACCAAATCAACAATCAATTCAAACACCTGGACAATATCCCAGACAAAATCAAGGGTATCACTCTGGTGCGACACCGCCACGGGCTGTCTCTCCGGCACCCCAGGGAAATTTAAACTATCAACCGGCTCGTCGTCAAGACGCGACAGCGAGCCCGACTCCCCAGCGTCCGAGGAATGTACATTTCGCAGAGAACACTGTTGGTTCTCTACAACAGGAGCAGCGGCCCAGGACTCCCCAGTAGTTCTACTACAGGCCCCAGAATTCAAGCATGACAAGGTTCAATTTCTTGTAGACCCAGGGTCAGATTCGAATCTTGTTAAACTGTGTGTTTTGAATCCTGAACTCACACTTGTCAAGGACAAGTGTATTGAGATTTCTGGGATAACAAATCACGTGGTAACAACACTGGGAACGGTTAACTTAACTATTTCCAGTAACCCTGTGGAATTCCATGTGGTTCGAGATAGCTTTACTATTTCCACACATGGAATACTCGGAAGACCATACTTACGGAAAGAACAGGCGCAAATTTCCTTTAGGCACAATACCTTGGTAACAGTGTCTAACCCAGTGACCCCTATCCCCTTTGTTGATAAGGAATCACTGGAAGCCAGGAAAGCCCTGAGGTCTGAAATTAAACCTTTCACGCGAATTCTGCGTATCCAATCCCGAACACGAACTCCTGTGGTCATCGATGTCATGACCTCTGACCTTAAACAGGGATATCTTCCTCGAATAGAGACTCCCACTGGACTCTACCTAGGTGAAGCCATTGTCACAAATAAAAATGGCATCTGTCATGCAATGGCAATTAATACCACCGAGGAAGATATTGATGTACGCATCCCTCCCCAAGAACTAATTCCTTTCGATTTTTGTAAATTCCCGGGGGAGGAACCAACGGATTCAGAGATTGACACTCCTCCCCGGACAATGCCCGACTTATGCAGATAGAGTTATAAAGGTAAAAAATGCTCTGTTTTTGAACCACCTAGCTCCTGACGAGCGTAAAATCGTTTCTAAGTGGGCAGAGGACTACGCAGATATATTTCACCTAAATGGGGAATTGTTAACCTGCACTAACCTTATACAACATAGAATTCCGACAGTAGACAATAAAGTTATACACAAAAAACACCCCGTTCGAAGCATTAGATCAAATTGATATTCAGTTAAAGAAACAATTCGATAGCGGTATCATCGGGCATTCTAACTCCCCTTATAATGCACCCCTTTTAATAGTACCGAAAAAGATTGATGCATCGGGCGAAAAGAAATGGCGAGTCGTAGTAGACTATAGGGCTCTAAACGACAGTATTATAGGTGACGCGTTTCCGCTTCCGAGTATAAATTACGTATTTGACCGACTTCGGAAAGGCACGGTACTTTACAGTGTTCGATTTAGAGAGCGGTTTCCACCAGGTGGAAACTCACCCCGAGGACAGACACAAAACTGCCTTCTCCTCGCGAAACGGACATTTCGAATATAAGCGAGTGCCTATGGGAATAAAAAACGCACCCCCTACTTTCCAAAGGTTGCTCAATAGTGTCCTAAACACGATGCAAGATTCCGAAGCATTTGTATACTTGGACGATAATATTGTCTATTCAGTTACCCTAGAAGAACACGATAGAAGGGCGCGACAGCTATTCAATAGACTAAGAGAAGCTAATTTAAAACTTCAACCCGACAAGTGCGAATTCCTAAAGACTGAAGTAGCATACCTGGGACATATTATTAGTGAAGACGGGGTAAAACCAAACCCTAACAAAATAATCGCGATCAAAAACTTTCCCCCACCAAAAACACCAAGAGACATTAAAAGTTTTCTCGGCCTCTCGGGATATTACAGGCGCTTTATAAAAGACTACGCAAAACATGCAAATCCTCTCACAGAATTGTTAAAAAAGGACACAGCGTGGAAATGGGAAAAACCACAAAAAGATAGTTTTTCTAGATTGAGACGATTTCTGTGTAAGGAACCAGGCCTCCAATATCCAGACTTTAACGCGACTTTCAAACTAACCTGTGATGCCTCAGAGTATGCGATAGGTGCAATTCTAACTCAAGAAAAGGACAACATCGATTTGCCTGTCGCGTACTATTCCAAAATTTTGAATGCCAATGAACAAAAGTACCCGAAGGCAGAGAAAGAGTGTCTCGGCATTTTATATGCCATGGAACATTTCCGACCCTATCTCTATGGACGAGATTTTATCTTGGCTTGCGATTTTGAACCAGTTCACTGGATGACTTATATTGAGAATCCTGGAGCCCGAATTCAAAGATGGAGAATTCGTATGCAGAATTATCAATATAAGTTTGAATGCAAACCTGGAAAAATTAATAGGATTGTCGAAGCACTGTCCAACAATCCTGTTAATCATTCAGGTGAGTCCAAAGCTGGTTCGGATTCCAACTGATCAGATCTACCCTCCCCTGATCAGGATAACCCAGGCGCTACATCGAAAGTGTCGAAACAATTAAGTGATGCGAGCCCTAGTCCTAAAGCCTATCGAGCCCTACCCATTAATCGTTCCTCCACTAGCAAAGAACAAGAAAGTGCGCGAGTGAACCCTAATGATCCAAAGGTCAAGAAAAAGTTACTTCAAGGGCCCACCCAATCACTAGAGCGGACCGGAAGCCTAAAAGAAGGGTTAAAGTCCAAAGGATCAAAATCAGTAATTCCTGCAAAAACCGGAACAAAGCAGAAAATTGCTGACCCCACCCTCAGAAGGAAACTAGCAGCGAAGGGAGGATATCCTGGACAGCCGTCCAAAAGTCGAGGACAACAACGGCAAATAACTATTTTAAAAAGACCTAGCAACCTGGATGTCGGACCCGGCCCACCTAAATTAGATCCCAAGAAGCAGCTACGTAAGGCCGAACCGAAACCTAAGTTTGAGCTCAGGGGCAGAGGAAGACCAGCAGGTAGCACGAACTCAGTGAAACCTACAGGAGACGAAACCTTCCGTCCCACTCAAAAATTAAAAATAAATGCAGCAGACGAGAGCTGCATCGCCAAACGCCTGCGCCCACGCAAGGGTGCTATTTCTGTAGACCCTAACGACACCAACTCTTCATCACCGTCCGCTACTGAGGCAACTTCGGAGAAAGAACCAGAAAAAGAAATCAGGGAACTGTCAGAAGAAGATTCTGATCCCCCTGTTTTCCGGAAAACCTACAGTGCCTTTCCCCATCTTCCACCTCAGCTCTCCCTTTCTCAACCCTCCACTTCCAAAGACGAAACCCTGGACGCATACACAGACGTCTACGTTGATGGAGCATGCTGCGAAAATGGCGGATCCAGTCCAAGAGCCGGAGTCGGCGTTTGGTTTGGTAAAAATCACCCCCTTAACGTTTCGCAACGTTATAAAGGCAAACAAACTAACAACGCCTCAGAAATCGAAGCAGCAACTATTGCTGCCAAACAAGCAATAAAGGCAGGAATCCGAAAATTAAGGATCAACACTGACTCCAAATACCTAGTGCAGAGCGTCCAAGAATGGGTACCCAGATGGAAGCAGAATGACTGGAAGACCACGGAAAACAAACCTGTAAAGAATCGAAAAGTTTATGAAAAGTTGATTAGGGCTCTGAAACCTTTGGATGTAGTCTGGAAACATGTTCCCGGCCATGAAGGAATCCTCGGAAACGAAAAGGCTGATCAACTGGCAAGAGAAGGAACTTTTAAGGATCCTGAACCTGATTCATCATCGTCTTCTGAGTCAGAATCAGAAGAACTACCTCCCGACCAAGTAATCATCGAAGGTCAACGAAGAATCAGCAACAGCAGCAGTGAATCAAGTGATCAGGAGGACCAACCCAAGGATGATCCTATAACCGAAACTCAACATCTTATCCAGGGAGTGAATGAATCCATTAATAAATTCAACTCATTCACAGGCGCAGGAGCAGGTGTCTCTAATCTCACGAACAACACCCTATTCTGGGATTATGAAGGATTGGATCACACTTCCAGAAGACAGTGTGTCTCCGATGGTGAGGACGATCAAGAGCATCTGGACTACTTAAGGACCCAGGATCCTGTTGATGAATATGACGATGGACTTTCAAGAAGAGTAAAGGAATTTCTGGATAAATACAACCAGAGCCGAGCTAAGGATCAATCCGGGAGAAAATCCGACGATCCTCTCGAATATCGACCAGCCGCTGACACCCCTGCCCATTCCCAGGAAACTCCATTGGCCACCTGCCTGCCAGGACCCAAAAGAAAGAGCATCGTTAGATTCAAGGAAATGCCAGAAGTCTTCGAACTTGCGAAGGATGAACAATCAAAGGCATCAAACCTATCACTCTCAGGAACTCCAACAGCCCGTTTTGCATAATCTACCCCATTCACCCGATTTAAGGGTAACAGCCGCGCTCTAAAAGAAACTTTGATTGATAGAAAAACAAACTCGAAACCAAGAAGAATTCACGAAATAAATAACGAGGAGCCATCGACCAATCTATTCTCGAGCAGTTCCTTTTTAGACATTAAAGAACCCTATATTGATCCTCCCTCTCTGCAATCAAGCAGTGATAAGGACGACGAAACCGGAAGTGAAAACGATAGTGACTGTGTTCCCCAAAAATATACACCACCAAATGACAAATCATTTGAAATCATTTAAAATCAATGGACTGAACCTTTGACTTACAAACGTGACAATTACGCACACTTTATTTCTGAGGATTGTGAACCCACCTCCCCAATCTCCAAATATAATCCTACTATGTCTTCTCCCGATCATATCTACAGAAGATAGACGGAATGTTTCAAGTCGACCGGATATGCCTACAGGAAGTGACCAGTACCAGATCACCCCTTTCCAATCCAGCAGCGGGATGTACTTTGAGTACATCGGGGAAGTCAGGAGATCAGTTAGCAACTGGAGAATTGCTGTCTTCTTGGATGTTGGAAGGCAGTGCCGATTCTTCGACGACCTGATGCAGCGCCTGAGGAAGCTAGGAGCGCAGTGCGGACCTGAAGAAGAATGGTGTCTAGAATTAATGGAATCATACCAATGGGAAGACAGGTGGGAGATGGCCTCTGAACTTCAGTCACAGTTCCGAGTCCAAATCGAGGAACTAGAAAATACTAAAACGACCTCACCTAGAAAGTTGACCTCTCAGTTGCGAGCAAGGCGAACAGTTCCCTTACTAGGGTTCCTAGGGAAAATCGCAGGACCAATTATTGGCGTGATGACGTATGACGATGGAGAGAAGTATAACGC